GGCTTGGGGACTGAAAGGTCCCGGGTTCGATTCCAGTCAAGGGCATGTACCTTGGTTGTGGGCATATCCCCAGTAGGGGGTGTGCAAGAGGCAGCTGATCAATGACTCTCTCTCATTGATGTTTCTAACTCTCTCTCTCTCTCCCTTCCTCTCTGTACAAAATCAATAAAATATAATTTTAAAAAAAAAGCCAGGTTCTAATGTAAACGGTAGGTGATGCTTCCGCTTCCTCTTGGGTTAGACCAGGAGCACATCAGAGACACATTGCTTGAAACCGCAGAAACACAGACATGGATTTGTGTAATGTGTGAATGTGCGTCCTTTAGAAAAGAGCCAGACAAATGCCTTATGAACCGGGACAGGATGAGTGATGGTGGGGGCGGCGGGCTGGGGAGGGAGAGCCTCGGGGCAGAGATTTAGGCACGTCAGCACCCTGATGGCAGGTCCAGGCCCACAATTCTGACTCTGAATCCCTGGGAGACCTTCCCAGGGTCACTCCACAAAGCTGGTTCTGCTGCCCATAGCCAGCGCTGAAATTTAAAAAGTAAAGGCATCTCAAATTTTCTTACAAAACATTACAAGGCTTTCAACAAGCCCATGCCGCCAAACGCTTTGGGCTTGTGGTCAAGGACACGGCCTAATGACAGGGTAGGGTCCTGGCTACCGGCAGGATTAACAGAGGGGTTTGCCCAGCAGGCATCGAGTCTGTCCGGCCAGCACTGCGGGAGCTGACATCCTGGGGTCCGGGTGAGTCATGCCCTGTGGGCACAAACACCTGGGCGTGCTGTGTCCTTGGGCCATAGTGGCTCACATCCCTGGAGACTTGAAAGAAAGAAAAACCTAGAACAATGAGCAGGTGACCTCTTTTCTGCTGCAGATGGAAAACAAGACACATTGGCCCATCAGCCTTCAACCACAATGCTAACCTCCTCCTTTTCTATTAACCCAGGGTGTCCTATTTAGGGGGGGTAGGGGTGGGCGGGGAGTTGAGGGGAGAAATGAGATTGCCCAAGTAGCTATTGGCTCAGATCATGCTAACGCCTACCAAAGAGACGCGACCTCCAAGAAAGGACACATGGAAAAAGTGATTTTGGTGGTGGCAAGCTTGTGAACTCTGGGCATGGAGACAGTATCCTTTGTCCAAATGTTATGCTTCCCTTTGGCGTTGCTGAGTCATTGGGTTGTCTTGAAATCTGAGTTTAAAAGCCTGTGAGGTGAGGCCTGCAGCAAAGAAGCCTCTTTTGAGTAGTGCAGGGGCGCCCCCTGGAGTTCGGTGTGAGTACTGCAGCCCGCGCTTGGCTGATTCACAGTTCTGAGATGTCGTGAATGGGGCTGGCTTCCTTTTGCAACAACAAAACCTCCCAGACAGCCCAGCATTTGCTATGGCAGCCCAGCAAATCACACAAATAAAATAAAATAAATAAAACACACAAAAACACACACACACACACACAAAACACACACACACAAACAGGTATTTCAGTAGTTCCTATGGCAGAGTACCAGGGTTCTCCAGAGAAACAGAAGCAACGGTGTAGACAGGCACCCCGTTAAGAGATTTATTTTAAGGCACTGCCTCCTGTGGTTGCGGGGTCTGACAAGTTCAGAATCTACAGGCTGCACCTCCTGGAAGAAGTTGATGTTACTATCTTGAGGCCAAATTTCTCCATCCCCAGGAGACCTCACATTTGTTCATGAGGCCTTGAACTGACTGGATGAGGCACACCATCCAATCACCTGCTCGTGCCCCTGTCACATTCCTGTGTGGAAGTCCAAACCCCCTATGTCACAGCGTTGACTGTATTTAGAGATAAAACCTTTAAAAAGGTGAGTAAGTTAAATGAGGTCATTAGGGGGGGTCCTCATGTGCTATGACTGGTGTCCTCGTATGTCTTAGCTGGGTTGGCTCAGTGAATAGAGTGTCTGCAGACTCAATCCCCAGTAGGGGGTGTGCAGGAGGCAGCTAACCAATGATTCTCTCATCATTGATGTTTCTATCTCTTCCTCTCCCTCTCCTTTCCTCTCTAAAATCTATATATATATAAAATCTATATATATATATATTAATATATATATATATATATATTTTTTTTTTTTTAAATAGGGGCATGTGAAGAGAACAGACCATGTGGATGGAACTGTGGGTCAAGGAAACAGGCCTCAGGATAAACTCACCCCACTCGTACCTTGATCTGGGTTTCTAGCCTCCGGAATTGTGAGCAGATAAACTTATGTGGAGCTGTTCCAGGATTCCAGGGCAGGAGGAAGAGGGAAACGGAGGCAGGCACGTTAAAACAAGGCCCAACCGTGTGGGCAGTCTGCAGCCAGCTTGTCACTAGCCAGCCACTGTCTTCCCCAGCCCAGGACACAGGGCCAGGACACACAACCTCCCCAAGGAGAGAATGCAGAAAGGGAGGGGGGGAGAGGACAGGGCGGAAAGGGCCGTTTCACTCCCTAAGCAGAGAAGCCAGCAGTCTCGAGCCGTGGCAAGCTCACGTTGCCACGAGCTTCTCCTGAATTCTGGGAAGGCCACGACCAGGTAACAAGGGACCGTATACTTCAGCAGAGGAAATGTGAGACCTCCAGGCAGGAGGGTGCGGGACGCCTTAGGCTGCCACCCACCCTGCTCTTCAGATTAGCTGAGAGCTGTCTGTGCTTCCTAAGCATGCTTCCATTGCTTTAATAAACTGGCTTTTCACAACGCCCTCAAGGTCTCTCGTATAAATCCATTTCTGTGAGAAGACAAGGACGGAGGTTGGGAGCCGCCCCCTCCCACTGACTGGGGGGGGGGGGGGGGGGGCTAGGAGGTGGCACTTCGCTGTGGCAGCCGGGCAAACCCATACACCAGGGTGTTCCCGCATTTCCTCCACCTTAACGTTCACGCATGTAGAACTGTTGTGCCGTGGGTGAGAATGTCAGTGATTTGGGGTTTGAAATTCTCTTCGGTTTGCACGAGGATGCCATGTAATGTCCCTTAAGAGGTCTGAGTGCGCATGGGTAGCAGACAAAGGCTCGTTCTCAGGCACGCCGTGGCCTCCCAGGCTTTTTGCACTCCCGGGAGTCACAAATGTATTTATTACAGTACCCCCCGCAACACACACACACACACACACACACACACACACACACACACACCCCGACGTGATGGAAATGGAAGTTTTCAGAAGCAATGCTTTCTCGTGCTGAGGGCCGGCCGGGACGCCATGGGGAAGTGGGTGCTTCTGGTTGCTGTGCCTGTGGTCTGAGCGGACCCTCTGGGAACCCTCGGTTCAGGGCCATACCTTTTGTGTCTGTTACTAAGACACGTCCGTCTTAGACAGTTCAGGATACCACGAACAAGGGGAATGTTTCAGCATCCGGTGAGGGCCCAAGTTCACAGATGGTCCGGGGTTTTTTGGTGATTTTTTAAATCCAAATGCGGCATTGGGAGGGTTCCCAGCTCCCCTGGATGTGAGGCGCATTTAGTGCTGCTTCCTGCAGAAGGAGCACCCCCCTGGAGGCCTCGCTTTCCCTCCTGATGGCTGGAGCCACCGACACGTAACACTGCCGCTGGTGCCCAGCTGAAGCCGGGGGTGATTTATGCCCAATGAAGTAGAGATCGGGATCTGCACCAGGCGCTTCTTCTCGTGTCTCCTCTTCTCCTCTCCTGGGGAGGGATGGAGGAGACCCTTAGCCAGAGGCCTGTTGTCCTGGGGAGGCTCCTCGGTGGTCATCTTGCTGTGCACCCTCTCAGAGCAGAAGGGGTGAGGGGGCTCCCTGAGGACCCTCTCCTAAGGGCACGGCTCCCATTCTTGAAGGCTCCACTGTCATCACCTAACCACCCCTGGGAGACGTGCTTACCCATACCAACATGTCAGGCATTAGCATTTAACAAATGAATGGGGGGTGGGGGAATCACAAACATTGAATCTATAGCAAGTACAGAATAAACCATCTGACTTTAATAAAACAGAAGGAATAAATATGATGAATGTCATCATTAATATTTACTTGAGCCCTAGCTGATTTGGCTCAGTGGATAGAGCGTCGACCTGAAGACCGAAGGGTCCCAGGTTTGATTCCGGTCAAGGACGTGTACCTTGGTTTCGGGCACATCCCCAGTAGGGAGTGTGCAGGAGACAGCTGATGGATGTTTCTCTCTCATCCATGTTTCTAACTCTCTACCCTTCTCCCTTCCTCTCTGTAAAAAATTAATAAAATATATTTTAAAATAAAAATAAAAGCTGTTATGGTGGACAAGTCACGTCCTAGGCCGGTACCTTCCCTGACAAAGGTCAGTCTTTACCTTAACTGAGCCTATTGCATATCATTGCAATGTCAGGCATATTAGCATAACCAATGGACACAGACACTGGGGAGGTGGGGCTTGTTGCCGGGGGTGCGAGTGGCAGGGGAGGTCAATGGGGAGGGAGACATATGTAATACTTTAAACACTAAAAAGAAAAAAGAAATGTTAGGGTAACGTGTAACTTCCCTTTTTCTGGACCCCTCAGGGCACAGCCAAAAGCCCTGGGTGCCAGGAAGGAGACCACAGATTCCTTCGCTGTTATTGTTATCATGTTGTGTTAACTGCTAACTATCCTGCACCCCCTAAGTAAAAGAAGTGTGTGTCTATCATTTTTTTAATTTTTTTATTAAATTATTATCTGTGTACATATCTTACCATTGTCCCCCCCACTCCCATACATGCTCTTCCTCCCCAGAGTTTTGTGTCCATTGGTTGTACTTATATGCATGTATAAAGTCCTTCGGTTGATCTCTTATCTCCCCCAGATCTCCCTCCCCTCCCCGCTGTAATTTGACAGCCTGCTTGTTGCTACTGTCTCTATATCTATCTTTTGGTTCATCAGTTTATAATGTTCTTTATTATCCACAAATGAGTGAGGTCATGGAACGTGTATTCTTTATTAAATCTTAGCAGTATTATTTAAGGGACAAACACACAGATGAGTATGAATAACGGAGTTAAGAAGTCACTAAGATACTTCCAGGTATTATCTTCAGTGGTGCTTCTTATCTTTATTCTGGGACTCCAGGAAATATTCAACCCCGACAGCGACCACAAATGCAGCAAACCCCCATTTGAATCCTTTTAGCACTGCACCAACGAAGGTGGCATTGTCTGCAAAGCCACCCATGTATCTCCAAGCGTCATTGCGGCCCCAAGGATCCTTGAGCCCCAGTGCCGCCACTTCTCCTGCACAGTTTCTAAGGGTGTCCCTTCTATCTTCCATTTTCTATAATCCGGAAGGACCAATTCACCATGACCGTGCCCATGCTCATGTTCATGTTCATGGGCCATGTCTGACAGCAATCTGACCTCTCGGGACACTCAATGGTCAACCCTCCAGCCCTCATTTTATGTTTTTATCCAATCCCAGAGGTTCCCTCCTTCCCGCTCTGCTTTCTCCCGCCTCCCTCATCTATCACCAATGGATTTCGGTAACCCACTTACGTCTCCTCCGTTGATTGTAATGTCTAAAACAAGATTTTAAAAAAAAACACGGCCATTCTTGCTCGCATTATCCCAACCCATTGAGATTCTGCTTCCCAGCAATTGTCAACATGCCTGAGTTGCAAGCTCGATCCCCAGTAGAGGGCAGCCCATCAATGATTCCCTCTCCTCATTGATGTCTCTCTCTCCCTCTCCCTTCCTTAATAAAAATATATTTTTTTTAATTCATGGTACACACTCCTCCCTGCTCCTTCTCCCCAAACCACGAAATGCAATGTCCCACGACAGTGACCCAGAAATAAAAAGTAGTTACGTTCAGTACAGGAAGCACACACAGAGTTCCTTTCGAGTTTAACATTTTTAGAACGGCATCCAAAAAGAGGATGTGATGGTGTTCTTTTTTTTTTTTTGCTGTGCGCGCGTGTTAATGCCTCTTTTTTTAAGATTTTGTTTTGTTTTTAAATATATTCTATTGATTTTTTTTTTTTTTTTACAGAGAGGAAGGGAGAGGGATAGAGAGTTAGAAACATCCATCGATCAGCTGCCTCCTGCACACTCCCCACTGGGTATGTGCCAGAAACCAAGGTACATGCCCTTGACCGTTATTGAACCTGGGACCCTGAGTCCTCAGGCCGACGCTCTAGCCACTGAGCCAAACCGGTTAAAGCAAGTGTTAATACCTCTTAAGGCCCTTTCAACCCCACCCCACCCCCCACCCCCAGTCCACACATTCTCATTTTCAGAGGAGATATAGGGTCCGATTGTTTTTTGGAAGAGAGATAGATACACAGAGCAAGAATTCCACGAGGGGCAGTGCCCTTGGCGGGCACGGATCTGTCTGGTGCTTCCCTGGTGTTTGGACGGAACAGACCCAGGAAGGCCCCTTCTGCCAGCCTCCACCCCTCTCCTGTCTTATCCAGTCACCACCTGCAGAACCACCTCCGGACTGTTGTTTTCTACCTTAACTCCTATTGCCGAACACCATGAGCTCCCACATGCGTCAGAATTACTCCACCCACCGAGGTGGAGGCTGCAGGCAACCGCCTGGCCAGCCTGCCCCTGGGCCCCCCACGCCTACCTCTCTCGGCCGGGAAGACGTGGCCCTGGAAGGCTTGGGCCGCTTCTGCAAGTTGGCAGAGAAGAGGCATAAGGGCGGTGAGCGCGGCGGCCGCCTTCTCTTCCAGGACGCGCTGAAGCCGCCCAAGATGAGTGGGCAAAACTCAGGACGCCATGAAAGCCGCCCTAGCCCTTTGGGAGCTGCCTGCCCTGGGTTCTACCCGCGCAGACCCTCAGCGCCTGACTTCCTGCAGAACCACTTCCGGGGTGAGGAGGTGGAATTCATCGAGAGATGGGCGACACCTGCCTCACCCTGCAGGCGGCCGCCCCAGGCTGGGCTGAGCCAGTATCTCTCCCAAAGAGAGGAAGGGAGCACGACCAGGAGCCTTTGGAGCCCAGAGGCCTTGGAGGGCCCCTCTGCATCCCCCTGGCGGCTGGCTTTTACCTGAGCTTCACCCCGAAACTACTGGCCATTCTTTTAGCCACCCTGAGGCCCTCACCCAGGCATCGGATCAAGTGAAGCAATAAAGCGTTTTGCAGAAAAAATAATAATAAAATTCCACGAGGCTGAGTGGAGACAGAGCATTCCATACTCACGTTAGAAGCCAGCTCCTCGGCTGGTGCCCCGCCACGTGGCTTACGGGGAAGATGACCTTGTTGTCGCTGTTGCCATCACGACACGCTGCGCTGCCATTTCCTGGGAGTCAGATGGGTACTGTGGGCGAAGCTGCCTGAGCCGAGGTAGCCGGGTCCTCAGCGGCTGCAGGACCTGTTGGCTCAGTCTCTCCTCTCTGTTCTCAGGCCACCGAGCCGTTTCCACGGTCCCATGGCAACGGTATTGAGGCTCGGCTCTCCTGGTGCCGGAAGACCGGCCAAATCACACCACCTGTTTGTTGTTGGGCCCTAAGTGGTTTGGCTCAGTGGATAGAGTGTCGGCCTGAGGACTCAAGGGTCCCAGGTTCAATTCCAGTCAAGGGCATGTACCTTGGTTGTGGGTACATCCCCAGTAGGAGGTGTGCAGGAGGCAGCATGTGTTTCTAAATCTCTATCCCTCTCCCTTCCTCTCTGAAAAAAATAAATAAATATTTTTTAAATGTTGATTGAAGCAACATTAGTTTGTCACAAAAATGTCCCTTCACTTCAGTCACGTGTCTCAGATCCCTCCTAAGTTCATGTACCTCGTGAATCTCCTAGAAGGCAGATATAACCCAGAGCATTTCACTCACTCTTTTGAGTAAAGACATTTTTTTTTTCTTTTTGGCCAAGCAGCTGGAGGGGCCATTGTCCCAAGAACCATTCTTGGGGACATGCTGCATTACTTCAACCTGTACCTTACGACCAAGTCTCCTCTGGTAGCTCTCCGTTCCAGAAAAACACCCTGTCAGCTGGGGTTTTCAGATACAACTTTGTGAAGCAGTTCACAGACCCCGTCCAAGGATCCACCCGTCAGGGTTGGCCTGGAATGGCTCCTTTGTCTGTGTCCTTGGTCACCCTCCGGTCACAGGAAATAGATTGAGGGATTCAGATCCTGGTCCTCCCTCCTCCTCTCTCTCAGCCTCTCTTTATCAGAGTCACAGAAGTAGTTCTGAGTGTGTTCAGACATAAAAAAAAAATTGATAAATCCCCCCAAGCAAAACCAAATGCCTTGCCCGTCCGATGGCGTTGGCAGCTCAGAACTTTTAGGAAAGGTCCTAATTCCAGTCCCCTTTCCAAAGAGGACACTCGAGATGCATGAGCAACTGCTCCGAGGTAGAAATATGTGCTTCCAAATAAACCAGCTCTGAACTTTGCAAACTGCCCCATCGTTGCATTTGAATGCATTTCAAGCTGTCGGCTCCCAGGAGGCCAGGATTAAAATCTGGGAGCAAGACTGTTTCCTGCCCCGCTTCCCTGATTGGCGAGGGCTGATGCCTCACTACAAACAAATTAGGAGCCCGAATCTGCCGCGGCGGTTTCCGCCTGTGACCAGGAGATGGCGCCATCGGAAGCCGTATGTCTGCATCTCAGGCCTTTCTGCTCTTCACACAGAGGTCAAAGGTCCAGGGCAGGACAGAAAACCCAGTATTGTCCAAGACCATAATCCAAAACCGGAAGACGCCTCCAGTTCTTGGGTGTGTTACTTTGGGAGCACTTGGGCGGATGCCAGAAGGCCTGTTCAATCCTTTTTCTAGCTACGGCTTCGTGACTCCAGTCCCTTGACCTTTCTCGCTGCCCTGGAGGAAGAGAAACTTCCTGACTCGTACAATTGGACCGTCTGCCCATGCCTGTTCTCACAGGACTTAAGAATTGGAGGGGGTTGTTGAGGACATTTGGTCTAGCCCTCCCCAGCGCAGGAACTGACCTCATTAGGAAAGACGCCATCTATTTTGATAACCTCAGTAAGGTCAACAGTTCGTTCATCCACTCAGCTGCCGGCTCCTTCTCAGACCTACAGGTGCCGTGGTCGGCAAACGGCGGCTCGCGAGCCACATGCGGCTCTTTGGCCCCTTGAGTGTGGCTCTTCTACAAAATACCATGGCCTGGGCGAGTCTATTTTGAAGAAGTGGCGTTAGAAGATGTTTACGTTTAATAAATGTGGCTCTCAAAAGTAGGGGAGGGTGGGGGTAAAGGGGAAGAGACCAACCAAAGGACCTGTGTGCATGCATCTGGGCCTGGCCCGTGGCCATGGGCAACGAAGGGGGTGAGGGCATATGTAGTAAGGGGTTTGGGATGGAATTGGGGGGGGGGGGAGGAATGAGGACAATTATGTGATACCATAATCAATAAAATAAAAAAAATGGGAAGCAAAAAAAATAAAAAGAAATTTCAGTCGTTGTCCTGTTGATATTTGGCTCTGTTGATAATAAGTTTGCCGACCACTGGTTTAGGTGGGGTACTGCGCTGGCTGCCACCCTCACACTGCTTATGGAGTCATTTATTCATTCACAACTCACTCATGACGCAAATATTCGGTTATTTAATCGGCTGGCTTCAATGAATGAAACGGGTCCTGCGCCTCACCCTACTAAACCCTGCAGCCAATCCCTGACCCCGTACCCACTGCCTCCTCTGCCGCTGCAGGCAGGGAAGCGGACCCTCAGAGTGAGTGAGTCCCTTACTGTTATCCAAGGAAACACAGCTCCTAAGTGATGGTGGTCGTGGCAGGGGCCTGACTCCAAGGTCCTACCCTGAACTGTAACCTTCCCGGGTCTCCCCACCTGTGCACGGACCTTCCCTTGGGGACCCTGTCTTCTCACGCTGCCGCCTGAGCGTTCTCCTTGGGACCCTGACAGACACACCCGCCTCGCAGGGCACTGGATGGGTCTTCCACTCCACTCCTCCGCCTCGAAGCTGCTCCTGTCCTGGCTGGTGTTCGTCGGTGGTTAGAGCGAAGGGGCTGGGTTTGATTCTTCTGAGCTGGAAGACTGAAGAGCCCCTCAGCCTCTGACTTCTGTCCCCCGTCAGCAGCTTCCTCTGATCGTTGGGGTCATGTCCAGACTCCGAGCCTTTCCCAGGGTGATTCATGGGGTTGGAGGGCAGGGAGGGAGGGAAAAACACACATTCACGCAGCCCAGACTAAGTCCACGCTTTGTACTACGTGTTATTTCATTGTATCATCGCTGGAAGGATTGTATCGATGAGTAATAATAGGCTCAGAGAGGTCAAGTAATTTATCCAAGGCCACACAACCACGAAGTAGCGAAGTAGCGGGAGATAAGGCCACAGTTTGTCTGACCAAGAGCCCATGTGCTGCCCACGGTCCCGCACTGCCTCCCAGATCAGGCAAGGGGCTCGGGAATCTGCACCGTCCCACCTGGGGCTGGCTATCCTCGTTTCCTTCCATAGAACAGTAGTTACAGGCCTGCTGTAAGAGCTTAAAATTCACTGGGGTCCGATGCACGAAATTCGTGCAAGAGTAGGCCTTCCCTCCGCCAGCTGCCGGCATCGGCTTTTGTCTGCACCCGGGCTTCCTCCGGCTGCCAGCAGGCACCTGGCACACGGCTTCCCTGGCAGCCTCATCTTTCGTCTGGAAGGTTGTCTGGATGTCCGGTCTAATTAGCATTTATGCTTTTATTATTATAGACTGTATTAAGGACACTCATACATTACTATATCACACATTTTAAAATATTTCAACCAGCTCTGGCTGGTGTGGCTGTTGGTTGAGCACCATCCCATGCACCAGACGGTCGCTGGTTTGATTCCCATAGGGACACATGCCCTGTTGTGGGCTCCATCCCCAGGGGAGGGCAGGGTTAGTACAGAAGGCAGCTGATCGATATTTCTCTCTCACATCAATGTTTCTCTCTCTCTACCTCTCACTTTCTCTAAAATAAATTTTTAAAGGCAAAAATCACTATATTTCAGTTTATACTATATATATGATAGATTTCCTTTCCAACCTTATGTGTTTTAGGCATTTACAAACATGATTCCAAGAAGGGGCGCACAGACTTCCCCAGACTACCAAAGGTGCCTGTGGCACAAAAATGGCTCAAGACCCCTGGGTAGAGACGTGCAGGAAGCCTTTAGGGCTGACAGGGCACAAAGTCCAACTTTGCTTCAACAGACTGAGCAAAATGAGAAGAGCAGACAGAACAGGAAGCGGAGGTTAGGAACTATGGAAGCTGGGTGACGGGTCCACAGGAACTCTGTTCTCTCTACTTGTAGGTATGTTTGCACATTTCCCAATAAAAAGTTCTTGTAGCTCTTTTCAAACATTTACGTGTGACAAGGTGATAGTCCTTAAACGTAGATAAACAAAAAGATTATAAACCACACCTGTGCTTCTGTGGCTACCCAGAGTAACCACCACTGAGTTTGCAAACATATACTTTGAGTTGGCTTTTTTTTTGTTTTTTTTTTGTTTGTTTTGGGTGTTGATCTTTTTATGCTGATGAGCGGATCTCTATTCTCAGTTCAAAGCCTACCAGTTAGTCGGTAAATAAGTAAATAAACGGTGCCTTTGCCTATCTTCACTTAAGGGGCTGGGTCTCAGAGACGCCTCCAGTTGCGCTGAATTCTTGTCTGTGGGCTCACTTGTCCAATTTTTCTCCCCTCTTTTTTAAAAAAGTATTTTTTTAAAATTGACTTTAGAGAGTAAGGGAGAAGGAGAGATAGAAATATCAATGATGAGAAAGCATCATTGAGGTCTGCCTCCTGCACACCCCACACTGGGGATCGAGACCACAATCCAGACATGTAACCTGACTAGGAATCGAACCGTGACCTCCTGGTTCATAAGTCAACACTCAACCTCTGAGCCACGCCGGCAGGGCCTCTCCCAGCAGAGTCACCCACCCTTCAGAAAGCCAGAACCCCAAACAACTGCGGTGATAGCCACTCTGTTTAGCCCTGCAATTCAGTGTGGGGAAGAGGAGCTGGTGTGGGTGGGACCCAGGGTCCAGGCTGAGTGTCCACACTGACTGTGAGGCCAGGCAGAGCCTCAGCTCCCCCAGGACACACACACACACACACACACACACACACCCCGTACCCTGGCAGCTTGGAAACCTGGGCCCAACACCCCCATCAGCCTTCTCCAGGACAGGCCCACCCCATCGCAGGAAGGAGAATTTGGGACGTGGAGGGGGACTGTCACAGAAGCTGACCGTCACACCAATGTGGAGTGAAAGGACAGCCACGCCCGGGGCCTCCTGGAGCAGAGGGAGCAGGGAGGCTCGGGGGAGGTGATCCTGGAGTGGGCCGAGTTGGATTCCAATGGGTGAGCAGGCAGGCATTCCGGGCAGAGGGAACAGCATGGACCGAGATCAGGAGGCAAGAAACAGATACTGGCTGAGGGGACCAGGGAGGAGGGCAGGGGCTGGGTGGGCCCACCACAGACCACAGAGCGGCCCGGACTCCACGCTGCAGGCCACAGGGCATGTGGGGCCCAGGAGAAATCACCAAACGTACACTCAGGCCAGACAGGGCAGGGCTGAGGCTGAGAGATGGGCGAGGAGGAGGCCCCTGGAGAGAGGAGGAAGGCCTGGTGTCCCCGAGGCCCTCGCTCAGCCCCTCTCAGGCCCCCAGGTTCCGGTTGGAGAGGTAGCGGTTTGTGTTGCATTCAATGGACTCTGCCTCTTTAAGCATTCCTTTCTCCCTGACCGCCCTCCCTCCGAGTCTTGCCCACAAACAGGATGGCCAGGAGGCTGCCAAGAGAGTCCCCGTCTCCCCATCCCAGGCCCCCCAAACGGCGTCCGCGGGATCCGTGTGTTAGTTTTATTTCCATTGCTTTGGTCTATACAAAAAACCAGTAACCAAAAACATCAAGCGATAACAATAAAACCCTCCCAGGGGCCTCCCCCGGCCTCCACACCCGCGGGCAGGAGGGGCCGGGGGAGGTGGAACAGGAAGGGGAAGAGAAAGCCCCTCACCGCACACCAGAGGGGTCAGCCAAGAGCACTTCCGGGGTCAGCCAGGGCGGCGTGTGGGCGGGCCGGGGGTGAGCTGTCCCCAGGGCTCCGGGAGGGGCCCAGGCCCGTGAGTGTCCTGGGGAGGGAGCGGGCAGGGGTCTGGATGGGGACTCACGCTCCACGTCTTCCCGGACGGCCCCTGAACTTGTCAGGAGAAGCTTTGGATTCTGGGGCCTCAGGCCTCGCACCCGGGTCCCGGAGACCCCGGGGGCTCAGGACAGCCGGTGGGCGGGGCACAATGAGAAGATCGGGCCCAGAGAGGGAACCAGAGCCGGAGGGGCCCAGGCGGCTGGAGGCGGGCGGGCAGCCAGCGCAGGGAGGGGGCCGCTGGGGGAACAGAGTCTAAAGCTTTAGTGCCAGGGCCACGGGGTGGGGAGGGGCCGGGGGCCGTGGACCCACAGCCCAGAACGGAGAAGCAGAGGCAGATCATCATCCCAAGAAAGACCCTACGGAGGCGCGGGGTTCGGCAGGAAGTCAGGGCCCCGGTCCCCCGGGCTCAGGCACTTTGCTGTCTCGCCCCGTCGTCCGCGCAGAGAGCCTCTCCGATGAGGAGCCGCGCCTGGGGGTGGGCAGGCACAGAGCTCAGGGCCGGGCCGTGCCCCCCAGAAGCTTGCATCACCCCCCACCACCACCACCACCCACAGGAGGGGCCGGACGCCCACCCAGCAGAGAGAGACGAAGGCTGGCTTCCTTGGGGGAGCTCCCTAGCAAAAGGGCTCCCCAGAAAAGGAGCCAGGGTTTCCATAGAAACAGGAGTGGCCCCCGCGGGAGGGAGGACGGAGGGGAGGGGAAGTGTGTCCCCGGGCGGCGCCATACCGGCCGGGCGGCTAGGCCAGCATGTGGTCGGCGGTGGGGTAGGGGGGCCGCAGGCCCTCGCTGTAGGTGTCGATGGGGTAGTCCCCCTCCATGTCCATGTGCATCTCCAGGGGGTCCAGGGGCATGTCACTCGAGTACATGGGGCGGTAGGTGGGGTCCATGTCTGGGGAGGAGAAGGGGGCTCTGTCCAGGGTCTGCAGGCCACCCTGTGGGGCAGCCCTCAGCCACCGCCTCGCCCCCCCGAGGGCCTGACCCGCCTCCCTAACTCCCACGTCAGAGACCCGGACAGGAGGGCGTGTGGATGCCACACAGCAGCTGCCCCTCCCTCCCTCACACCCCGGTCCCTCCCCGCCCTCCAGGCCCGAGCACTCTGCACACGCTTACCGTCCGCGTAGGGCTCGTTGATGGGGATCATGCTCTGGGCCTGTGGAGGGAGGCAGAGGAGCAGTGAGGAGGAGGGGGAAGGGCAGCTAGAGACGCTGCCATAAAGGGGCCGGAGGAAAAGTGAGGTCACCAGAGGGAACCCTGTGCCCTGATAAGCTCCTCTCCCTCAGGCCCCTCCCCAGGGGCGGGAGCTCCCCCATTCATGCTCGGGGCACCCACGGGACAAGGACAGGCCTCGGAGGGGAACTGAGGGGGGAGGACTGGAGACCAGGTGCAGGGAGTAGCCCAGCCAGGATCAGGGCAGCCCAAGAGCCCCCGGAGACCTCTGCGCAGGTTGGAAAAAGGCACTCCGCATTGCGTATCAGCGGGGACAAAATTACATCGCCCTTCCGGAGGCCAACCACGGATAGGCCTGGCCGGCGTGGCTCAGGGTGGGCACGGCCCTGGGCACCCAGGGGTTGCCAGTGTGATTTCCGGTCGGGGCACATGCAGGAGGCAACTGAGGATGAGCTGCTCTCACATCAGTGCTTTTCTCTCTCTCTCTCTCTTTCTCTCTCTCTCCCTCCCTCTCTCTGACTTCCTCTTCTCTAAAAATCTATTTAAAAAATCTTTAAAAAAAATCCATAGATGGTTCAACCTACGCTTTCCATCTCCTGAGAAGCGTCACCCATGACTCAACTATAAAATAAGAACCTATGCCGAAACCAGTTTGGCTCAGTGGATAGAGCGTCAGCCTGCGGACTCAAGGGTCCCGGGTTCGATTCCGGTCAAGGGCATGTACCTTGGTTGCGGGCACATCCCCAGTAAGGGGTGTGCAAGAGGCAGCTGATCGATGATTCTCTCATCAACTTTTCTAACTCTCTATCCCTCTCTCTTCCTCTCTGTAAAAAGTCAATAAAATATATACTTTTTTTCTTTTCTTTTTTTTTCTTTTTTAAAGAACCCCTGAAGCAGCCAGACGGCGGGAGCCCCATCCAGTGCTGTCCCCGGCGGCGGGCCCTGCCCAGCCTCAGTGCCGCCCGCGGGCACTCACCGCCTCCCAGGCGGCGGGGTCGTGCTTGAAGAGGGAGTTGGTGAGCTCCACGGACACGCGCTTGCGGTAGTCGGGGTTCTTGTCCTCGGAGATGCGGAACAGGACGGCCGCGGCGTAGGTGGCTGAGCGGAGGGGAAAGGCGGGTCAGCCCCTCCTCCGCCCCGGCGGGGGCCCGGCCCCGGCCCCTCCGCGCCCTCCCCGCTCACCTGTGCCCTCATTGCACCCTCTCCCCTCACCGGTGCCCTCGTTGCCCCCTCAGCGCTCTCCCCCGCTCACCGGTGCCCTCGTTGCCCCCTCCGCGCCCTCGCCCCTCACCGGTGCCCTCGTTGCCCCCTCCGCGTCCTCCCCCCTCACCGGTGCCCTCATTGCCCCCTCCGCGCCCTCCCCGCTCACCGGTGCCCTCGTTGCCCCCTCCGCGCCCTCCCCGCTCACCGGTGCCCTCGTTGCCCCCTCCGCGCCCTCGCCCTCACCGGTGCCCTCGTTGCGGGAGTGCAGCAGCTCCATGAGCGGGGCCGAGGCGCCCTCGGCGTCGATGGCGTCGGCGGCCTCCTTGTCCTGGGCCAGCTCGCACAGCACGCCGGCCGCCACGCGCTGGATGTTCTCCACGGACGAGTACAGGAGCTGGGAGGGGCGCGGGGCGGTGAGGCCGGGGCAGCACCAGCAGGTGCTCTCCGCCGCCCTCTGTGGACTCACCCCACGCTCACAGAGAAAGTGTGGGCATTCTAAGAAACGCACGAAGAAACGGGAAAGAAGGCCAGCCCCCCAGACAGCCTCTGGGGACACACTGGCGTATCGCCCTGGGTTTTTTTCTAGTCGCCCAGAGCCCGTTTTCTTCATCGGACGGGGCATAAAGCGTTTCCTGTGTGATCCAAAGACTTTTCCTAAAACTGCCTGAGTTCACGAGGAAACTCAAGAGAGAAAGAGAATGCTGCAAAGCAAAACCACCACCACCACACACACACACACACACACACACACACACACCCGGGTCCCCCGGCCCCAGCGCTGCCCGCCTTCCCGGTCAGCAGTGCGAGGAGCAGGGGTTTGGGGACCTCTCCCGCCCCCCTGCCCAGACTCACCTGCACGAACAGCGGGATGGTGTTGAGCCGGAAGATCTCCATGCGGTTCATGGGGTCCCGGGCGAGGATGTGCAGGGCCCCGGTGCAGCCCTCCACGATCTCCTCCATCCTCACGCCGTCCTGCAGGGGAGAGAGAGAGAGAGAGAGAGAGAGAGAGAGACAGAGACAGAGAGAGAGGAGACATTGGGGCGTGGCCACGGGAGGCGCTAGGATGTGGCCTCATGCCCCTCCCCCCAACACTGACAGGCCTCATGGGTCCCTGGAGGGGCACCCGCTGCCACCCGCCTCCCCAGCACATGCTCAGGTGCACACACATGCTCAGGTGCACACACATGCTCAGGTGCACACACACGCTCAGGTGCACACACACGCTCAGGTGCACACACACGCTCAGGTGCACACACATGCTCAGGTGTACACGCATGCTCAGAGGACCCGGGACACTGCCAGCTCGCTCACCGTGTAGGGCTGCTGGGTGCCCGCAGCCACGTGGCGCTGGGCGTCCTGATGGGCCTTGACCAGCAGCTGGACGAGGCGGGGGATGACGGCTGCCTCCTGCAGTGGGGCATGGTTGGCTGGGCACAGGGCCAGGTTCCTGATCAGGCCGATGGTTGCCTGGCAAGAAAGGGGTCAACAATCAGGGTCACTTCTGTGTGTCTGGAGGACCCCAGTTTCCCAGCTCATCTCCTCCTCCCCTATCCTCTCTCTGAGCCCTGGCGGACATGGGTGAGCTGGGAGGTCTCCCAAGAAGGAGACCAGCCCAGCGCATGTCCCTTGTTCCATAGGATCTGTGGGTTCTCACCCGGCTAAGGTCTAACTCTAACAGCCCCTGCTAAAATAATACCCCAGCCCGGCCGTGTGGCTCAGGAGCGGATTGTCGAATTGTGAACCAGGAGGTCATGGTTCGATTACCATTCAGGGCACATGCCCAGGTTGCGGGCTCAATCCCCAGTGTGGAGTGTGCAGGAGGCAGCCAATCAATGATTCTCTCTCATTATTGATGTTTCTAGCTCTCTGCCCCTCTCCCTTCCTCTCTGAAAATCAGTAAAAATATACGTTAAAAAATAAAAATAAAATGATACCCCATTCTAGAACATTCCGCCAGCCCCCATGCTTTGACCCTCACCCTTATTCCTTCTCTTAACATGCCTCTGCTCCCCATCCCCTCCAACTGGGAATCAAACCAGCGACCCTCTTGGTTCATGGGTCAGCACTCAACCACTGAGCAACACCAGCCGGGAACTATGAACCTTTAAGAAATGTACATAATCACTTAAGAGTCATTCTTAGCTGTGCTGTTAAACTAAAATTTAGCCAATGGCAACTGGCCTCCTGAGAAGGCCCCACCTTCACACCCTGGACTCCCTGTGGCTGATACCAGGCGTCCCCCAGGATCCGCCCTGTCCCTCTTAGCATCACTCCCGAGCTTTAGCAGACACCGGCCCCCTGACACATGACACACCGCCAGCCTCCTTGCACTTGGATGCAGCCAACTGATCAAATTCTAGGATGTGGGCTAAACTGGCAGGTCCGACAGCCTGCTCACCGCTCGCCTCCCACTTTCCTGGGGCCTGAACGCCCCTGTGGGGATGACACTGCCCAACCATGGGTGTGAGACCCTTTAGGGTAAGAAGGGGGCTCCATGGTCGAGCAGCAACACCCAGGAGCTTGTTAGAAAATGCAGAAGCTCCCCTCCCCTTCGAGGCCTACCGAGTCAGAACCTGCAGTTTAACGAGACAGCCCCCGGTGGTCAGGTGACTAGGAAGACTCTGAAGCACTGTCTTTGGGGATGGCTGAGCAACAAGAGAGAAAGATGCTGGGTCTCAAACTAAACCATCCCATGAGGAAAGAATTTCTGCTTATTGAGGGCCCCTCTGTCACAGCAGCTTTGCCTGTACCGATACAGCACCTAGTCCTGACTGCAGCGGAGCTCCTTCCCTGGCCTGGCCCCCTCCGCGGCAGTGGTGGCGGTACCTTGACCAGGGGCCACTGGTTGGGCTGGTTGAGCAGCTTGACGATGGCCGGAATGCCGTAGTTGAGGCGCACGGAGTTCTGGGCCATCTCGGCCTCCGGGTGGCGGCTGGTGAGGTGGCGCAGCGCGCAGACCGCGGGCTCCGTGATGTCGTCCTTGTCGCCGGCGCGCAGGATGGCGTGGATGAGCGCCTCCACGCCGCTGTTCTGCGTCACCAGCGTCTTGTTCTTGCTGTTGTTGCAGGTCAGGTTGGACAGCGTGCCCGTGGCGCAGGTGAGCACGTTGACGTCGTCCACACTCAGCTGGTTCACCAGGATCTTCAGCACGCTCTCCAGGCCCTCCTGGGTCGGGGTCGGGGTCGGGGTCGGGGTCGGGGAGGCAGTGATGAGTGCGGGAGACTCCCAGCCGCTCCCAGGCATGCCCAGGGGAGCGCCATGGCCTGATGGCCCTGTCGGTGTGCCAGGGAGCCCTCATCCCATGACCCTGTGCATTCGGTGACCCTGCGCACGCCTGTGAGGGCAGAGCTCTCCTGTGGGGTGCTGAGGCTCAGGGAGGGTAGGTGGCTTGTCCACGGACCCCGGCTAGTGGCCGGATCTGAGCCCCACACTCTTTCCTCCAGCCGCCCTGCTCCTCCTCTGCATCCTCTGCCCCGGCAGAGCCCCACTCAGGCTGAAGGAGGCCCCAGGTCAGGAGGGAAATTGAGGTCCCTGTCTCAGTGGCCCAGTTGGCCCATTTTTACATGCTTTCTGGGCCTTCACGCTGCCCCCTCAGCAATCCCCTGGCCAAATCCGCTCTCAGGAAACCCCCATACCCAGGGGGTGCCTGTGGGCCTGTGATGGCCCAGGAAGACCCAGGCTCTGGGGACAGACAGCCCTGGGCTCACCTGCCAGCACCCCCACTTCTCAGCTGGGACCGAGGGCCCTACCTGACTTCCTGAGCCTGTTTCTTCATCTAACCAACCCGTCCCGCACTCCACCTCAAGTTAAAAGGGTGAGCAAGACCATGTCCCACAGTCCCACACACGGCAGCGCACTGAGCACCTGCTGGCGGGCTCTGAGGAGAGTCAGGCTGGAAGGAGGGGCCGGGAGGCTTGTCCTGAAACTACAGTTTGTGTTTTAGCCACTGGGCCCTCAAGCTATTTGTTGACACTTGCTGTTCCCCGCCTTGGGGCCTAGGTCAGACTGTGCCCCTGATCTCCCTCTTCCCCCCGGAAACGCAGCTTAGAAAAGCCAGCCCCCACTATCAATTCCCCTTCCAGATATCTTAAGGGGGACTAGGTCCTTAAGCTAAAGGGATGAGGTCAGGGTCCTCCAGCCTCGGCCACAGCACTACAAGATGTAGAGGCCTCTCCCCCCGGCTCCCGAGGTCACACTCCTGGACAGGAGGCTGGACGCGGTGAGACAGGAGGACAAGGGGGCTGCTGAGGCGAACCCAGGCCCGGACGTTTCCCTCACCTGCTTGGTGGCCACGTCTGAGAGGTTGCGCAGGGTCCAGAGGCAGTTCTGCACGAGGCGGGGGCTGTTGCTGGTCAGGTGTTTGCCCAGAGCCTGCATCCCACCTGGGGGAGAGGGGGACACAGGGGTAACATCAGCCACAGGGGAGCACAGCTGACTGAGCCTGGCCTCTCGCTAGGCAGGGCTCCACCTGGCCCTCCGGCCACACGGCCTCCTCCGCCCCGCACTCACCAGCCTCCACGATGGCAGGCTTGTTGTTGGGACAAACGGACAGCACCTTGAGCACGCGGCTGGTGGTCCACAGCAGCTTCTCGTAGCTGTAGTTGCGCATGATCTGCACCAGGGCCTGGGGTCCCCCGTTGGCCAAGATGATGAGCTGTGGGGAGCGGGAGAGAAGGAGTGTGAGACAGGTGGGGACCATGACAATGAACAGGGCGGGGAAGGGGGCTCATGGAGTTGTCATTACTGAGCTTCAGATAAAACCTGAATCGATGGTGTGACTATCCAACAAGCCAAAATCTTGAAAATAGGGTAATCCACAATGCTGACAAGGATGAGGTGAAACTGTGTTAAAAAAACATCACCGCTGATGGCATGGTAAGATACAATCATTTTGGAAAGCAACCTGGCAATCGGGATAAAAGCCTAGAAATGTTAAAACCCCTTGGCCCTAATGATGAAAAACGTTCCATTCTTTGGGAAAAGCTGTGTGCCTGAAGATGTTCATAACAGCATTGTTCACAAAGGTGGAAAATCAGCCCAGCTGGTGTAGCTCAGTGGTTGAGCGCTGACCTATAGACCAGGAGGTCATGGTTTAATTCCCAACCACGGCACGTGCCCTGATTGCAGGTTGGTCCCCCCTAGTGTGGGGTGCGAGACAGGCAGCCAATCAGTGACTCTCACCATTGATGTTTCTATCTCTCCCTCCCTCTCCCTTCCTGTCTGAAATCAATAACAAACAAACAAACAAAAAAGTAGAAAATCAGGAATAATTCAAATGCCCTTCCTCAGAATCAAGTCTGGAGCCTCCACTTACTGAAATGCTGTTTACCATTCTAGAGGATAATTTTGGAGGACAGATGCACAGATGCATAGACATCTGCTATGACTACAGCTACGTACAAATATACCCACAGGACAGCCCTGGAGGAAGCACATCGAGATAACACCAGCTGTGTGAGGATAATGAATGTTTTTCTTTTCCTTACACTCAAAATAAGACCTATGATGAAACATGCATGGCTGCTCATACATGTCTATTTAACCTACAGATGGCCGGGAGGCATCCGTCCGAGGCTGCAGCTGGACAGACGGGGACGAGAAGGGGGCCGCGGGCCATGGCGGGGGGAGGGGCCCACCTTGCTCTCCTGGTTGCCGTAGGCCAGCAGCTGCAGGCAGTCGGTGGTGATGGCCAGGAACTTGGGGTTGTTCTTGTTGAGCAGGGGGACCATCTTCTGCAGCCCGTCAGCCAGGCGCACCGCCATCTTGGCGCCCTCCTGGTAGAGCAGCAGGTTGTGCAGCGTGGTGATGGCGTAGAACAGCACCGACTCCACGGGCGAGCTGGGGTGGCAGGTGGGGGCTCAGGGTGAGTCGGGTCCCGGGGGCCTGGCCTGAATGCAGGCCGCCTTCCCCAGGAAGCCATCCCCAGCACCCACACCCCCATGGAAACAGCCCTCTGCTAAAGCCTCATCGTCCCCCCCTGCCCCGCCCACTTTTGTGCACAAAGCACCTCTCCCCTCCCAGCTGGGCCCTGGTCACTTCCGGCTCCTAGGCCCCCAGCCCGGGCTGAGCAGGGAGTAGTCCCGTTACCTGCCCCTACCATGTGGAGTACCCCATAGAAGCCACATGCCTTCTGGAAGGGGCTCAGAAGGGAATAGGGTCAACATCTACCCTCAAGGAACTCACAGCCTGGCCCTGAGCTGAGGGGAGGGGCCGATCAGCACTGCAAGGCCCAAATGACACAGGGAGCGTGCTGTTCCCTCCCTTGAATGCTCTTCCCTTCATCGGCAGCAGCTTTGGGAAGTCTGGGCCGTCTCAGACACACCTCTGCCCTGCTCTACACTGCAGCCTCTTGTCTAACCTGCTCGTTACATGAGCAGCTAAGAAGTGCCCAGCTAGCCCAGTCGGAAGAGCATGAGACTCTTATAGGAGCAGCTAAGCACCGAGACTGGGCGGGGTCCTGCCCCGGAACATAGTAGGTGCTGTATGGAAGCCCCGGAGGAAAGGGAGGGACAAGGCCAAGGGCGGGAGACCCCAGGCTTTCCGGGGAGCAGGGGTGGCTACCTGAGCATGCGGACCAGGGCGGGGATGCCCCCGGACTTGAAGATGGCGAGCAGCCCCTCGCGGTGGTGGGAGAGGTTGTGCAGGATGCTGGTAGTGCAGCGGGCTGTGTCCAGGTCGCTGGTGTTCTGCATGGTGCGCACCACGGCCGCCACCAGCTGGGGCGAGCCCATCAGCGCCCGCCTCGATGCCTCCTTCTTCGACAGCTGGTTCACGATCATGGCCGCCTTCGTCACCACCACCTGGGGAGCGGGGAGGGGAGGGCGGACGTGAGCAGATGGGCCAGGTCCAGCTGCCGCTGTGAAAAGGTGGTCACCAAGAGACCCATTCACAACGCTCAGCGGGACCCCGGTCAGACTCTTCCCTACGGATGGGGCTCGGGGTCAAAGACCGCCCTCTATGCCAGCCCTCCCCTGTGGACCCCCGACCTCTCCCGCCCCAGCCAGGCCCCCTCACGGACCGGATCCTCGTCGTTGAGAAGCTTGGTGAGCTCAGGCAGGGCCCGCGTGGCCAGCTCCGCGTCGTCCTGGTAGTTGATGAGATGCACGATGGCCGACTTGAGCAGCTGGGACGGCTCGGCCAGCCGCTGCAGGTTGGTGGTCTGCCCCTCCACCTGGGTGGCCAGCAGCAGCGAGCTGTCCTCTCCCGTCATGCCGGGGCACATGGCCTCCCGCACCCGTTTGGCTCTGGCCGTGGTGGACATCTGGTACTCCAGGTCACCTGGGGACCAAAGGGCAGGACTGAGCTGCAGACGGCCAGCTGGCCGGGGAGCGGGGAGCGGGGAGCGGGGAGCGGGGAGCGGGGAGCGGGGAGCAGGGAGCAGGGAGCGGGGAGCGGGGAGCGGGGAGCGGGGAGCGGGGCAGGCTGTGCACACAGCCCGGTGACTGTGTTCTCTGGGCTGCCTCCCAGCCGCGAAGGCCCAGCGCCACCTACAGTTCCGCCTCTAACCAGTGACCCGGGGGAGGGCACCACCGCCCCAGTCACGGCATCTGTAAAACGGGGCCCCACCTGTCCTGTCCACCACAGGGAATGCGTATGAGAACTAAATGAGATCATAGCTGTGAATAAAAGAAAGGATTCGTGTGTGAGGCACATCTGTAAAGTGGAAATAATAATAGTATTTATCTTGACCCTGGTTGGTTAGAACATTGTCCTCATGACGCACATCTCACTACAGAAATGTTAGTGGTTCTTATTATTATTAATAGGAATAGCTGACAGTTTTTGAGTTTTTATTAGGTACTTTGGCAGTGAATTAAGCATTTTTCTTGTATTTTCTCACTAAATCGTACAACCCTAAAAGGTAAGTACTATTTTATAAAAATATTTTAACGTAGTTAGTAAGATTTGATACTGATATATTTTTTTAAATTTGTATTTATTGATTTCAGAGAGAGAGAGAGAGGTCAATTTCTTATTCCACTTACTTATGCATTCACCGGTTGATCCTTGTATGTGCCCTGACCAGATAGGGAACCCACAACCTCAGTGTATCAGGACAACAATGCTCTAACCAACCAGGGCCAAGATAAATACTATTATTATCCCCACTTTGCAGATGGAAAAACTGAGGCCCAGAGATGATGAGACCCAAGCAGGGACCTACACTCAGACAATCTGACTCCAGAGCCCCAACCTCGGCTCTGCGTCCCGCCCTTAACAACCAGGTGAAGGTCGGATGAGCCAGCCTGGTTCTCCTCAACCCCGAAATCTCATGATTCTAATTACACCCTCAGCCTCGCCACAGGAGGCAACGCTCCCATTACACAGACAGGCAATCGAGGCTCCGAGGCCGGAGACACCCAGTATCACACGGCAGACCGGAGAGGAAGTCGGGAATGAGGGTTTCGGAGAGCAGGAGGCGGGTTCTGGGCTCCGACCCCAGATTCCACCTGCTGGGTGGACCTGGGAGTCCGTGGTCCTGGCCAGTGTCCCGTCACCCGGGGGAGAGGAGCCGCTTCCACCCTCCAATTAATCCGGGAGGAGACGTGGACACGGCCTTCCCGCCCGAATGCTGGCGGGGCATCCCCAGCCCTAAGCCCCCGAGCAGGCTGGTTACTTCACCACCTGACCTTGGCCCACCTCCATGTGCGCCTTCCACATGCCAGCCCGGCCTCCTCCCGCCCCCACCAGGAGCCCTCAGGCTGAGAACGGCGCCTCCTCTGTCAGACTGGGGGCTGGAAACCTGCCTCCCCATCAAACCTGAAGGTCCTAGAACAAAAGGACTCTGATTTCCACAGTCCCCAGGTCCCCAAGTGACGCCTCTTCATCATGCACGGAAGGCAAGGTCTGTGCCTCTCCCTTCAGGCGGACGGGCAGGGTCTGTGCCTCCCCTCCTTCTAGAGGTTCACGAAGAAGAATCTGCCTCCTTCCCGGATGGGGCCCTGTGCCTCCCCCTCAGACCGGGAGGCTCCTGAACTCGGCCTCCCGCTACCCTGACCCCCCTCCAGGGCCCGGCCCGGTTCTCTGCGGGAGGATGGATTCCCATGGTTAGTCCCCAACCTTGGCACTGCGGCGCCCCCTGGGTGTAGGTCGTGGTCTTCTTGACCGTGTACTGGCGCCCGCAGGCCTCCTCGTCCTCCATGATGCCCTTGCTGCTGACCGAGGGCACGCCGGTGTTGGCACCCGAGTGGATGCCCGAGTCATAGGTGTACGTCTGCTGCCACTCGGTCACCTTGATGGGCTGTTCAATCAGGTTCATCACCTCCATGGTGGCTGCTGGGGACACAAAGGAAGGACAGGAGGTCAGCTGGCCCCAGGGAGGCATCCCCATTGGCTGGCCCAGCCCCTGGCTTCCCCAGGCCCTGCCCGTTACCCCTTCCTTCTACCACAACCCCAAGGCTCCCGGGAGCTGTGGTGGAGGGAGTGGGGGCAGAAGGGCCCCCGGCCCAGAGAGGGATACCTTTTCACCCAGGGCCTCCAGCAGCTTCTGGGGTGCCCGCAGGCCCACCCACCCACTGGGGCTCCCTGGGAAAGGCCGCTGCACCGCCCGGAGGCGGCTGCACCAGAAACCGGTTGGTCAGACAGGGAAGCGGTCAGACAGGTTTCTCGGGAAAGCCAAGGAGGCTGCTGGGAAGCCAGAGGCGCCCAGGATCCCTTCGGATCTCACTTTCCTGCAGGACCACAAGTGGCCTCCGAGGTCCAGGGCCTGAGATCCCCCCACCTCTCCGACACCCCAGTTCCTGGAAAACTTTTCCCGGAGTTCTGAGTCCCACCCACCGTTTCAAATGCCAGCGACATGCTCCCGGGGCAGTTCGCCTGTCTGCCGAGCCTCAAGGTCCCCATCTGTGAAACGGGGTCATGCCCCCTCCCTAAGCAGGCTGTTGTGAGGGCCCAGCATGGTGGCAATGGCTGTGTGCCTGCCCTGTAGTGTCTGCCCACCTCTTGGCCTCCGGGAGTCCAGGCCAGGGATAGGCAGAGAGGCAGGCCTCCAGGTGGCCACCGCCAATCCAGAGCCCCTCCAGACTCTCTCTGCAGAGACCCGGGGCACGTGGATTCGTGAAGAGCCGGCCCTACTGTGTGCCAGGGAGGTGCAGTCCCACTTGCTGCCTGGTTCCCCATCTTGGGAACTGGCCATGGGAGTCAGCACCCGGGAGGAGAAACCGGGGAAGCTGTGCTCCAACGAGCCAGGCCTTTCGCTAATGCGCCACCCTGCCAGGCAGGTTTCGCGGCACAGGCTCTGTGTCCCCATCCACAGGTGTGGAGACTGAGGTTCCACGGGGCGAGGTGGCACGGCAGAGAAATGGCGGAGCCGGGACCAGGCCCAGGCGTGCGTGACGCCCAGTGTGCGTGCGCGGACTCTGCATGCCCAGGGTGCCCTCAGACAGCAGGCAGGGCCCGGGCTGGTTCACCCGTGAGACTGGGCAGCACCCAGCACCTCAAACCTGTTGTGTCGGGGGACGGTGAGCAGGAGGGTGGGGTGGCCGGCGCACCAGGCCCCACCCAGGAACAAAGATCACCAGGGATGTGTCTCCCCAGCAAGGCCTGGCGGGTGCCACCCTCCAGGAGGAAGGGATGACACATGTCCTTCAGGCCTGGCTCCTTTTATGGTGACACCTGGCTCCTACCCCGGCCCTGAGCACACCTGGACAGGCAGAGGCAGGAGCCAGACCCGCTCCCACCACCTCCGCCCCCTCCTCCCTCCCCCTCCTCCCATCACGTCAGCCCCAGTGACTCAGAGTTTCGTGCTGATAAACAGAAGCTGGCCCCCAGTGCCAGACAGGCGGCTCGGTGCCACCGGCGGAGCCAGCTGCTCCCCAGGCACTGACCAAGTGTGGCTACACCAGAAGGAACCCCCACCCCAACCCGTGCCCAGCACTCGCGCCTCCTCTGGAGAGAGAAGAGAGAGGAGAGTCCGGAGAAGCAAGCCCTTCTCGGAACTGGGAGCAAGGGTGAAACTGCACCAGGAAGTGAGCGGCATTAACCCTCTCAATGCCACCTGGCGGGGAGGAGGGCTGAGCCTCCGTCAGATCCACTCAGGACGGGCTGGGCACCTCGAACCCTGATCAGTAAACACACCCCACGACTGGAGCTGGAAATAGCCGCCTGCCTCTGGGGCTCCCAGGACTTCCCCAGACCGCAGGGACATCCCCCCACCTGCCCAGTGTCCACAGGGAGCAAGCACCAAGGTCAAGGCTGGCCCTGGAAGGAGGGTTTCCTCAGAGGCCCCTCCCCACATCAGCCCCGGGGGACACAGAGGTCTCTGGTCAGAGGATCCCTGGCAGAGAAGGCATCTGCTTCCTTTCCTACCTCACCCTTCCTTCCCAGCAGCCCTGCAGGTGTTTTTATTTATTTTTATTTATTTGAATTTATTCCCAATTCCCAGGTAAGGAAATGGAGGCTCCACGTTGAGGAAATGGGGTGCCTCACTGCAGACCGGCCTCCCGCCCCCAAACAGGGGATCCAGGGGAAGAGGGACCCCTGGGGTCATGGGGAGAGGGCCAGACACACAGCTGCAGGTGGGGGCGGGGGCTGAGCCCCTCCCCCGGGGAGAGGCGGTGGGCCAGGCTGAGGGTGCTCACAGTTGCAGGCAGAGCAGCGGCTGGGAAATCAGGAGGCCCGGGTTCCAGTCCCAGCTCCAGCACAAACCTGCGGAGTGTCCTTGGGCAATTATTGTCCCTCCGCGCGAGTGGCACGCCCAGAGAGAGCCCAGGTGGCCTCAGAGGAATGTGACGTTTAAGATTCTGGGAACAAGGAACCAGAATTCCCACAACAGACAGAGGGTGGGGTGGGCAGCGCTGGGAGCATTTCTGAGAGGACACACACTCCAGGGCGCTCCTCGCTCCTCGAGGGCGGGTCCTGGGGAGGGAGAGCTATTTCTGCCACAGGGAGGCCAGACAGACGTCAGACAGAGCATCAGACCTCAGAGGGAGTGGAGCCTCCACCAGCCGCACCTTCCTCCCCACTCCTCCCCGAGAGAGCCAGGGAGATTCTCCCACGGGGAAGAAAGTGCCGTTCCTGCAGTTCCCAGGGTGGAGGGGCCTCGCCCTGCGTGGCCTCCTCCCTCCCTTTCCACCTGGAGGAGACCTGCCCCAGCGCCCCCGACACAACGGGGGGAAGCGGGCGAGACAGACCGGCCTGCCCGTGTGCCCGGACACAGACGGGCAGAGCCAGACACGGGGCGGGTCTTCGGAGCTGAAGGGGGAGCCTTTGTTCCCAGCAGTGCGCTCTATTCTGGGCATCACGGGAGCAAGAGGGCAGCGGGGAGGCCACGGGGGGGGGGGGCGGGGGCAGCAGGGGCAGGAAGAGAGAAGACGGGGCCCCCGGAGAGGCGTGGGATGGAGCCTCCCCCCACACACTGGCCCACACGGGGCAGAGTCTGGGAGGCTGCCTTGGGCATACTCTGCCCTTCATTCCTGCTTCCTCCTTGGCACGGCCAACCCAGCAGGCGGACCCTGGGCACCCTAAATCCGAGCCTGCCCTGGCAGTGTGGCCCCGCCCCGCCATTAAGTAGAACTCCCACCAGAGCCCCTTAGGGCTCCTGCCCCTGGCTCCCCACCAGCGCGCTGTCCGTGCCGGGCACGGCTGGGCGGGGCTGCAGGACACCGAGCGGCAGGGTGGACGCAGGACAGGAAGGGGCCAGCGGCGGGGACCAGGCTCAGAAACACTGCGTTGGAGCAGGCGGGGCAGGGCCCCCAGAGGTCCCTTGCGCCAGAAGCCAAGCCCTTTGCAGACTCAAATCCTAGACTCAGACAGCGAAGGAGAGGAGCTGTGGGCAGCAGGAGAGTCTGAGGGTGAGGCGAGGGGCTTCACCCCCCCGCCTCCCGGACCCTGCGCCCTTGGGCAGGTCACCCCGTGTCCTGATAGAGGAGATGACGGTGCTACTCACTCACCTCCTTCTCCAGACCCTTGTGTGAACCAAACACAACTGCCCGGAGGCCCGCTGTGGACAGAAAAGACCCAGGCAAGCATCCTTCCGTTAAGGAAGCAGAGATGGATAGGGCATCGGTCTGCGGACTGAAGGGCCCCGGGTTCGATTCCGGTCAAGGGCAGGTACCTTGGTTGCGGGCATCCAAGTGGGGGGCGTGCAGGAGGCAGCTGGCCGATGTTTCTCTCTCACGGATGTTTCTAACTCTATCTCTCTCCCTTCCTCTCTGTGAAAAAATCAATAAAATATATTTTTTTAAAAAACAACACTAACTTTAAAAGAGAGAGAGAGAGGAGGGAGTGATGGGAGAGGAGGAGGCCAGCAGAGAGGGGCCTGGCAAGGCAGCCAGCAGCCAGCCTGCCCTTTGGGCCCCAGGCCCCTGAGCCCCCTGACGAGGGCTCGTGGGGTGCTGCCTCCCAGGCCAGGCCGGAGCCCCTGGGGTGGGGTGGGGTGGGACGGGGCAGCTGGGAAAGCAGTGCGCTGGGAGGGAGGGCTGCCCGCTCCACAGTCACATGCGCGGCCTCATGCAGGCGGGTGGTGGGGCCGGTCAGGCATGGACATTCCCCACATAGCAGCCCCAGGGGAGAGGCGGCCCAGCAGGTCACCCGCCCCCGCCCTCCCCTCCCCTCCCCACTGTGTCTGGCTCCAGCCGAGCTTTGGCCAGCAATGCCGATGGAACGGACTCTAGAAAGTACAGGGACCGGACCACGGCTTCCCCTGAGAGCCCTGCTCCCCCTCAGGCTGGGGCTTCCCAAGGAGGCCCCTCCCCTCCATGCAGCTGCAGCTGCCCCAGGAGACTGGGCACTGCAGTGGGCAGAGCCCGGAGCGGGAGCTGGGTACGGCCAGGCCCGGGGGCAGGAGAAGACAGAAGCCCATCTGGAGCTTCGGGAGCAGAACCCTCGCTTCCTGCCTGGAGGACAGCCAAGCAGTGGCCAGGGGCCGGGCCCGGGGTCAGGCCGCCCCAGCTGCCGTTTGTTTTCTTCCTCCTGGGCTCCTGCCCAACGCAAACAACCGGGGGCGGGACAGCGAGGCGGCCCGGGGAGAGGGACATGCCAGGCCGGTACTCGCCCCGGAACCTCGGGGCTCCCCGGAAAGGGCTCTGCTGGGGGCCCTGAGGGGCAAACCCCCAAACTGGCCGAGGACCCCACACCGGGCCTCCCGAGATGGGAAAACACCGCGCAGCCTCAGGAGACAACACGTCAGCGATGCATCTCCACACACACACACACACACACACACACACACGTGCCCGGTGCGCCCTTCGCCACGCCGGGGGCTGGGGTGGCCCGACGGCCACAGCCGGCGTCTCTCCGCAGGTGTCACTGGGCTTCATGCAGCAAGGA